AAAACTATAATTCAAATATATTAGTAATTATGTATTTCAAAATCAATTGTAATATTTTATAGGTCTATATTGTGATCATTGAATTATTCAAATAGAATATATAATAATAACATGCATAATGCATATTTATAAGTATATTTGAATATTTTTTTGTTAAGTTTTCTTTTTAAAGTTATATGTGTATTGTGTGAATAACAAAATAATTATGCTTCTTCAGTAACCCAAATATCTTCTTTGCAGAATAAAAGCTTTCAGAAATATTTAATAAACCTTAATTTTTGTTGAATAAATTTAAAAAAATTCGATAATCAAAATTATATTGTTTTTATACATTATTATTATGTTATTAAATATTAATACATTATTACAATCATTATTGTACATCTATTAATATTATTATCATATCTATATTATACCACATTTATTTACGTAAAAATTAAAATATAATAACTTGGTATTTTAACATAAATGTAAAATCATACAATTTACATAATATATTATATTAATTATTTAGTATACATGGACTCTTATATTAGTTTTATTTTAAACTTCATGATTTTTGTAATTGAATCACATAAAATACAATATATTAAGATAGTGTTAATTACGTATTTGTGTAAAAATAATATTTTAAAATAAATTAAATTTCTTGAATTTCTAAGTCTGAAACACATATTTAAAAATACATTATTAAAATTACATAATAACCATTTCACTTATCGTTTATTTCGGTGTTTTCGATGCTCAAATAAATTTTTTTGATTAATTAGATAAATTTTTAACTATTTTTATGCGGACGTATAAGAATAATATTAAAGTACGATAATTTCAAGGAAATCAAAGTTTAACCCTATACATAGTTTAGACTAAGACCATTGTTTAACTGATGTCTATATTACTTTTGATCGATGTACCTATACATTAGCAGTATTCTCTAGGGAAATAATACTACCTAATATAATATATTAAATATTTCAAACAATCTCAACTATTTCAAAAAATAATTTTAAAGATTTTAATGTTATTTAGTGTATGATTATGTTTTTCTCAAACCAATGGTAGCTAATTTCCTGGTATTTTAGCATAATATAAATTATAATCCATATTTTATTTTTTGAAATCTTAATTAAAATTACAAATAAAAATTAATGTTCAAAACTGAAATTCACCGTTGTGCAGTACCAAAAAATATTAATATAAAAGCAGCGGTGATGAATGATGATATTATAACAACTTTTGACGGAAACTTTTTGTTAGGTGAAGGTCAACGAAATCATTGAGGTAAATTAGTAGATATATACGCGAGCATTTATCAACATTTAGCACTTAACGCCTAAGTGCATATTCTTCTGAAAAGATGACTTTGATATGAAGAAAATTGTTTCAAAAACGTGCAACCGGCAGTTTGACAGTATAATATATTGTAATGGTAGCCACAAAGTTGTCAGCCGAGAACCAGTCATTTACAAAGTATTTAAATTGCTCGTTTTCATTGTGTTGTTAATAACGAAAATGGGTCCATGTAATATGTTTTCGGTACTATTACTTATGGTCTAATGGTCAAGTGCAAAGGAAATTCAAATGGACTCAATACAGTTTCATATAATATATATTTATAATAAATAAGTATGTAAGTATATATTACGCTCGTGCAAAAATTAAAGAAATAATTATAATTGTAACAACTTTTCATGCAAATTTAATTTATTTTAAATGCATCATCTGCATCAAACACATGTATTGTAAAATAGAATAATGATTATAGTAGCCAATGAATAATTAACTTATCTAATAATAATAGAATTTATGATATTAATATCTTACAATAAACTTAATTTATATAACACAAAAAAAATGGTCTTATCATTTACCTTCAATAATAAATTATCGACTAATGAGTAAGAAATGTTTCATTCATCTTTAAACACAATATAAACATTTAGATTGAAAAATGACTTAATACTATACAGTATAATGTATTTTAGTATCCAAATTATGTAGATTACTTATGAGTTACTTAAAAAATAGTGATAATCTATTGAAGTACTGTGAATTCTATTGAAAATAATAAAATAAAATAAAATTATACTCAAGTATATTTATTTTAAAATATTTATTCAGGGTCGTATAAATAACCACTAAGCATTTAATAAATTAATTGTGATATATTGGTCCTTTAAACATGAATTAGGGATCCATAATTAATCCGTTCTATTTTAGTTAACCATTAAATAAAACAACTTTTTTGAACGCACGATCAAAATATTTTATCATAGCGTGAAAATTAAAAAAAAAGTAAATGTGTCAGCCATGTATGATGCTCACCTAGTTTACATTATTTATTAATATCTATATTTACGAGTATTATGTTTATGTATGTCAAGTGTAAGGGATATATTTATACAATTTTTTCTAACTATTCTTGACTTGACGTTTAAATTTACAATATATTTATTAACATAACAATTTTTTTCTTGTATTCATATAAATTATTTTATTAAATATGAATAGTATAATTGATATTTAAGTCATTAGACGCACATATCTACCCTAATATTTCATTTTTAAATTATATACTAGTATCAATAGTAATTATAAACATAAGGTTTTATAGCATACGACCTATATATTATAACCTAAATCTTAACAGTGCATTCTATGAAGTTGATGGGAAAAATATAGTATAACATTAAAAAAAAAATTTGCTCTTTTAAATTGTATGCTCTAGTTCTCTATGTACAATTCCATTTTAAAAACATAATATGGTGTACTATTTTGATGTTTTAAAATCTAAGAATTTTATTTTTATAGTTAATAATTTATACAAATTTAACATCACGTTTTTAAAGATATATTAATATATAATGTTATGATGGTTTTTAATATATATGTTTAATTATAGAAATAAAAAAAATAATTATATATACTCCAAATTTCTTCAGATACATAATTCAATTAATTATTGAGTTAATCAATTTTTAATTTCCGAAACAACTCTATTAGTAATTTACAGGAAATGTAATGACTTTGAATGCCGGGTCACGGGTATTTACTCATTAACTTTATAAAATCGTAATCAAATTTAAATTATATGCTTAAAGGAAATTGAATTAAGTTAATTAAATTTTTAACTTATGAAATTCTAAGTAAATATGTTGTAACCATATTCATATTTTAATACTGTTATACACATGTGAATTAAGTCGGAAGATATTGTTTAAACATATTTAAAAAAAAAAATAACTTGGTTTTTTATTAGCATATAAAATCAGAAGTAGATTTCTTTAAAAAAAATTAAGATAATCGGATGAATAGTTATAAAAAACATGCGCGACAACGATTTTCATTTTTACATTTATACTTATAGATAATTGTGTTAATATATATTTTTTGGATCTTTATTTTCAGTATTTACTACTTTTAAAAAACATTGTATTACATTTTTATATGTTAGCTATAAAATTAAAAATTTTATAAATGTTTAATTAAAGATTATAGTTTTTAAATTTTTTTAATGAATTTTTTAAAAATTTGAATTTCGAATACATATAAAAAAAATTGACCTATACAGACATAGAAACAAACAACTTGTACAGGACTTTTATTAAATTTCCAAAAATGTAGTTCAAGTGAATACATTTTTATTTTCATTAATAGAAAAAATTAAAAATAATTTTATAACAAAATAAAGAAAAAAATTTAGTTTGAAACTGGTTTAGTGTAAAAATTCTCGTTTATCCTTAATTTTGGGGTTTTCCGATTTTTAAAGATAGTACTGGAAAATTTTTACTTTTGACATCCCCAAAGTACCAACTAGATCTAATTTTCTACCAGAAACCATCTTCAAAATTGTAAGACTAAGCATTTTTACTACCTCGAAAGGTGATAACAAACAGAAAAAAATATATAGATACATCATTGTAAAATCAATAAACTCATCGTTCGGTCAGAATCTAAAATATGAACACAACTTACATTATTGCAAATAAGTTCATTATTTTAAAGAAATTCAGATATAAGAAAATATGGTACGTATTTGAAATTGTATTTATTTTATACAAAACTTTTAATTAAAAATGATCTCAAAAATATTTCAAGTATTTCATATTATATAATTTACTTTTGATTAAGGAATGTTTTTAATTTGTTTTATTAATTAAATATAATTATTATTTACTTCATTATTTAATGATACGGTGATAAAAAAAAAAACCACTTCTATTATAGCTAATAGAGTATAAAAGATAAATTATTTAAATATAAATATTAAATTTATAACACAAGTATGTTTTAATGCAAATCTGGTAAATACTACCAGAAAATCTTAAATCGGCGCATTGTGTAGGCAATTTCACTACATACGTGAATTAAATACATCATAACTCATATAAAGTCATAATAAATGTTTACCCTTCAGGCTATAAATTACTCTTTTCAGAAGTATTATACGCATACTACTTGAATTAAGTTATAATAATTATTATCTGTCAACACTTGTACGTATCGTTATTTACTATCCATAAATTTTTCTTTTTAATTTTATTTAATAGATGTTTTGAAAAATTCAAAGTTTCAGTTTTTCAATAGAGAAGTGAATAAATTAGAAGCGAAATTAGAAAAAATCACATCATAGATATGATATTATAATACTATTATAGTCATACAATAGGATATCACGTAATTCCGTATGTGAATCTATACACATTTTTATTTATTTATATAAATAATATTCGTCAACAGTTTTCTAATGAACGCGCGTGTCTCTACACAACATCTCATACGTAAACGGATCAAAACATAATTATATAACCTGCTGAAATAACACTTGACAATAATAAAATATTTTCTACGACAATACGCGAAACGTTGGACATATTACCATATAGATTGCAGCTCAATTTTATAACAGTATGTATTATTATTATGTATAAAAGCGGTATAGTTTTAGCGTATGTAATCATTTATTACGTAACATATTATCATATTATAACTACTCTCACCTGAAAATTGTAGACGGCCGGTTGCTAATCTGAAGACACTGTCGAAGAGGACATCGTTTTCGAGGCCGGAGACCTAGATATTATGATAACGCAGTACGATAACGCACCGGAGGCGTTTGAAGCGGTCGAGACAAATCGGCCGGGCGACTGCGTTCCGTTTCCGAATCGCTGGACCAGGATAACGCTGAAATTGTTTCAAAACGAATTTTCCGGAAACCGGACGACGAGTCCCAAGACGAATACCAATATCCGTGGTGACAAGCTGCTGCACGGGTGAGTTGATGATACTGAGTCGTACGAACGAGCGTATAAGGATATTCGGGTCGTCTGACTCGCACGAACGTGTGTGTATGTGTCCGGTCACTTGCCTGTTGGCATGTTGACTAATATGTAATGATCACGTCGTCGTCATCGTACTCGTCGCCGCCGCCGATCGTCCCGTCGTCATGGGAACGCAGCAATCCGGCACGGCCGTATTATATATATATTATATATATAGACTGGTCCATGCGCTTTGCAGCCGGGTCCGTGACGTATATATGCGAATAATAACAACGACGATGATGTTGTGCATACGTACAGCACTGCGATCGCAAAACTTATCTGAAGCTCGACTAAATGAGAAGGAGGGGAGATAGACGATTAATTTTTTAATGAAAAAGGCTCCCTCGTCCTACCCGTGAGCCCCATTCTTGGATTTTCTACCGAACAGTTATAATATCCTGCATTTTTGATATGCCTGAAGTTTGAATGCAACATGTAATTGCAATCGTATTATTATTACAAAAAATATGAATTACATATTATGATATATATTGGAATTGGTTTTATTATATTTAGACCATTTTTACAAATTATAAATTTTGATATTGATTAGTGATAACTAAGATTTTCAAATTAACATAGCTCTTATATTTTCTAAATCCACTATGATCACGGACTGCTATAATCCTTAGTATACGAAGTTAAATAACTCAAAAAATACTCGTTCATAATTTGAAGGAATGGAGGGTATCATAAAAAAAAAAAAAAAACAAACAAAAGTTTATATCGTTACAGAAATACGAGACATTCCTTTAATCTTAAAAGTAGAACAAAACATCCCAATAATTTGAAAATATGGTCTTTAAAGTTTAGATATACTTCAACATTTTAAAAATCAGTTTTTGAATTACTGCATTGTTGAAGAAAAAAGAACATAAACCATGCATCAAGCATACTTATATACACTATATTTAGAAATAAAGATAACAACAAATATTTCAAATACATAACCTTGAATTAAATTCCGGTTGTTTTATTGCATAAAAGACTTAACATTACACCTATTTTTAAAAAATTTAAATTTTTAAGTTTTTCACACATACATGGACAACAAAAAATTATTTTCAAATTGTAACCTTCCTTTTGAGCTTGAATTTGAATTATTTGAATTATTTGAATAACTTAGACTATATATATAGTTTTTTTATCTTGGAATTTGACATGTTAAGAGTGAGCTAAGGTTTTTATTTATACATGTTGTATGTATCATATTTTCATCAATCCATCTCAGGTTTCAGAAATAGACTACTTGTGGTTAAATGCAGCGAAAATAACTGGACGGCCAAAAGTTTTTTTTTAATGTCGGTCTTCCGCACATATGATGTATTTGGTGATAACGATAGCATTCATTGTTTATCGCTTTTAAAAATAATAGTCAAGATAGCATAATAATTATCAACTAATATTTAAGTTTTTTCTGAACCTTAAATTTTTTTTTCAAATCATCTGAATTGTCATAAAAATTAATTACCCACCCCTGGTTAATCTACAACTCTACAATGTTCAATGTGATTTCGTATGTTTTTATTTTTTTACTCAGATGTGGTATCGTAAGTAAAGTAGATTTACATTATTTTCCTCAAATTATGAACTCAAATTGAAGTATACTTTCAATATAAAAAAAAAATAAGTTACATCTATATTGACCAAAATGTTGATTCAGAGAGAAGACATACGTTTATCGCATGGTTAAATTTCTTGAGAAACCGAAATTTTTGAAATACATTTGCTGGACTGACGAATCAAAATTTACCAATAATTATGTTATTAATGAATAAAATAATCGATATTGGTCTGATAATTTATTCTAAATGATACAAGTTTTCGAAACGTATAAAGAACAAACGCCTGGTGTGGACTTATAAGAAACCAATTACTCGATAAAGGATGGAATTATATCTAAATTTGTATAGATTTATTATTTAGGTTATTACTAATAACTTATTAATAACAATTAATTTACAGATTTAAAATTTAAGTTAATATTTTTTAGAAAAAAAGTCAATTTTTAAAATAGAAAAACTTTATAAGTTAAAGCTGTTTAAAAAAAAACTAAAGTAATTTAAATTCAAACTCAAAAAGAAGGGAGTAAAAATTCAAAAAAAAATCTGTTCATTGTGCATGCGTGGAAAAACTTTAATTAAATTTAATAGATGTAATAAAGTCCTTTATGAAGTAAAAAATAAAAAAAACCAAATCAAATTCAAAATCGTGCGTTTTAATTATTTCGTGTTACCTTTTAACCGTTGAACACATTGTTTATACGTGGTCAGATACCCAACCTATATGGCTACACGTAAAATATATACCTAAACCTATGTATTATATATAATATGAAAGCTATCGGAATTCATATTATTAGGTATTGTTCGCGATGAACCGAATTATTGAGAAATGGAGCTTAGAGGGTTCAAAAATAGGGCTCACCAGAATATCAATAAACAAAATACGTACCTATAAGCACTTTGTGTAATATTAGGGCCCTCAAAAGTGGGATAGCTCGGGGTCACTTATTACATTAATACTCGGCTCTGCCCGTATAATACGTAGTACCTACGTCGGCGTGCAGTGCACATGACTGAACGACAAAAGTGTTTATGTAATAGCTGAATATGCGCGCGAGGGATCGTGTAGGTACATAATCGCCATCAAACACACATTAATACCATTATCTACTGCATACGCAAACACGGTATTTACCACGAAAACAACGCAGTATACGGGTGTATCGCAATACCGCCCTAGGCCTTTTAAAATATGCCGCTCCTGCCCCGTGAAAAAAATTGTATTTATTCCTCAAATATATGAATTCACTTCTATGTTTTTTTAAATATTGTATAATATTAATTTACGCAGTTACATAAAAGCATAAAATGTGTTTATAATTTTTTTTCCATTTCTTACAAAATTTGCTGCCCCCAAAACGTGCCGGCCTAGACGTAAATCTGGCCCTGATGTACCGCGGCCGACGATACATGAGTATTATTACCTACACGTTATATTATGCGCGTGTTACGTAGTACGTAGTAGTATACACGCCCCGTCGAGACGTGAACGGCGCGCGATTTGTTCCCAACTTATACAAGACATACGCGTGCAAATATAATTTTGTGCGTGTGTGTGAAAGCATACGCTTGAGTATAATTACGCGTATGTGTTTTATGTATATACATAACCGGAGGTAAACACATATTTTGCCCGGACCTTTACTTCGCATCCTGAAGGCCTCGTTTTATTGATTTTATTATTTCTACTTAAACCGCCTTAACCGCTTCAGCAAAAACAAGGCATTTACCATACGAGCATTACAGCCGGCGGCCATGCAACATAATATATAAATGTATAGGTGGTGAATATTATATACCTACACTCGAGTAGGTACACCCGAGACACACGGACTCGACCGCCACTCAGGACTCTTGACATTTTATATACTATTATATAATATACACAACCTAATCTTCGTACACGCGAGCGCGCACACACACAAATATTTCATTCATCTAAAAAAACGATACCACCACGACTCAAAAATTTTTAGTTTTGAGAAAAAATCGATTCAAATTTAGAAACGAATCATTAGAAAGAGTTTTTTACATCTCTACCTACGCATTTGAAGTTAAAAATAAAGCATGCTTTTAAATTTTAAAATACTATTATAATGCATAATTTTATCTAAAAACACTAAAAATTTGACTTGTGGCTATGTAACGTTCTACAATTTTTCATGACAATGCTAGACTACCTACTCGTTTTGAGATGTGGCTGATGTATTGCATAAAATACATTTTACGAATAGGTACGTATTATTGTTTTCAATAACACAGTACACTGAAATATGAAAGTATTGAATTCAAGTTACTTATTTACATTTCAACATTTGTATATTATGATTGCAATACCACTGCAACTCAAATTATTACTATAATGCACTAAACACATAGTACAAAAATTAGTTTCCATTCACTGTAATAAAGTACCACACTCGAAAACAACAGTTTTGTACTATAATTCTGCGATTAGTCGTATAGAAAAGAGAATAAAGAAGATTTTTGTTTTACGTCAAAAACTGTAACCAATAATTTACTGTAGATATCGTACAACAAAAATTATTAAATAAATAAGTAATTAGACGATACTACATTTAACTATTGTTATTGTGGGGGAAGAGATTCGCGAAAAAATATATACTTGCATACAGAAAATCGTCACTAATTTTATATTTTGACATGCCAAAAGTAGTGGTTTCGCAGTCACCTGACGATTGCAGATGCAAGATATCAGGATATTAAGCGGAAATATGAACCATACATTCATGTCAGTGATATAATTGTAGGGAAAAGGATCATTTGCTGCCTTTCTGAAATGTTAGAGAATGCAAAAGCATTATTTTATACTCATCAGATATACACAATAATAAAAAAAAATCTTTAAATTTATTAAAATAAAGAAAGAGTAAAAAAATATTTTTTTCTTTAAATTACATTTATTTTTCGTCCTTTTGTTAAATTTAATGTTGACGTATTTTCAGTGTTCTCAAATTATCTATATGAATCGCAAAAATAACTCAATATTATTTCACGGATTATAATAATTACAGACTTAACATAATAGGTACTACTGTCTACTTTTTCAAACAAATTATACCACTTTTATTTATTATTAATCTTAATATTATGTACTTACACTTAGTATTATTTAAGGATATGAACGCCTCCAATTTGTTTCCAACCATAAAATAAATGTTAAAACAAACAATTTATTAAGTTATGATTTCGATTTTGGAGAACAAATTATTTTGGCCCTTTAATTTTTTCTTACTCGATCACGCCACTGTCCGAGGTCGTACGAATTACTTGAAATGGGGAATCTTTTGAAAACCAAAATAGATTTGCACTTCCGTGTAACAGTAAAGGTCACTTATGCTACAGATTACCAAATCCCAAACAACCAATCCAACGCGGGAAATAAAATTAAAAAATTCGAGTTCAAACTACAGTGCGAATAACGAGTGCTCTAGTGTTAATAGCTGTTAACTCCTGAATTATTATGAGAAAAATGGAAAAACCTACTTCTGATTAGCCCCGTCGTTTGTTCTCCCTCCTCAGACAAATACAGACTGCACAACGACGTTATATATTAGTAAAAACTGACAATCGATAAAGAATCACTAAGAACAATCGCGAATTCAAGCAGTTTTCTCGAGTGATTTTCTAAACCATGCGATGGTGAAGTTAAAACCATTAATTAGACAGCTGATTTGGCTTACAGTTGGTTGTAGCCATTATTGACAAGCGCTCGTTCATCTGTTGAATTCCCCTCACAGGGAAAGACGACAGTGATAAAATAAGAAATTTCTCTTAAACAGCCCACAAAGTCAATGAAATATACAGAGTAAGTCTGGGAAAATTCGTGACCTATTTCAATCACTAGGTATTAGATATTTAACTTTTGCCATCTCTACAATTTGGAACCGAGACATTTGCTCTAATCCCCTTTAAGACTACTGCATGCACATACATTCCCTTTCAGTAATTAATATAGATAGGTATTCATACAATAAAATAATATATTTACTTATTTTAATAATATCAGATTACATTATAATACACAAATGTATACTATAATTAATATCAATCATAAATTCATAAATGTTATGTAAGTACTTAATTATGATGTAACATAAATTAAGTAAAATTTAGAGTTCACAGAGTATGATGTAAATTGTTGACATATGTATTATAAAATTATATAAAAAATATATAATTCTTTTTTTAGATTTTTTGGTTTTAGTATGCACTACTTATGAGCAAAGTTATATCAAATTATCAACTGTGAAACAATTTCCTAATCTTTCTATTTTTAACATTTTTTTTTAAAAGTATTTCTAAACTTCAAATGTTTATAAAAATAAATTGTACATATGTATTTCAAATATGTTTATATAACTAAAAAAAACAACTTAAGTTGGATGTTATATTAAATATTCATGCTTTTTGATTAAGCAAAAAACATTTTATCAATATTTAGAGAAATAATTAAAAAAAAAATAGACCATTTCTATAAATAGTTCAAAATCAAAATATTTTGAAAATTATACTATTTGTAAAATATTTTATTGTAACTTGTAAGCATTTGAAGAAAATTTCAAATACCTACAGGCTACAGTTACGTTTTTGAATTGTAACAAAAAAAAAAAAATATAATACATTTTGTCAAAACTAATTTTATTTAAAATTTCTATTTTTCCTTAAATTATTATTTACTTTTCCCAATCATTTAAAGAAATAATAAACATTTTTAATTTTTGTTTTTCTAAAGCAAAAATTAGATCCAATTTTTATTAAAAACAACCTTCTCAAAGTTGAAAATCAAAGTATTTTATCAATTATATATTGTTTTATCAAGACATTAATGTTAATCAATTCATTCATCGGAACTCATGATCTGAAATCAAGGTTAATATATTGATACTCTTAGTAAATTTAATTAAGTAATATTTCAATACATGTATATGCAATCAATACAAATTAATTGTATGGATTACAAAATTTAAAATAATAATATGTATAAATAATAAAATTAAAAATTAATTAAAAAACTGAGACTTAATTATACACATAAAAATGTTGCATGTTTGAAGAATATTGTATTAAAATATACTAAATTAACTTTCTTAAATTTTAAAATCAATTAATTATAATTAAAATGGAACTTACAGCATTCAAATTTTATATTATAAACACAAAAGTAAAAGACATAGTATAACAAGTAATCCTATATCAAATACTCAATAAAATGTGCATACATAAATCATAAATTTCAAATAAATAATGTCTAACGATGTTCAAAAATAATTCCTGAATGGTGATTAACAGCCTTGAATGGATGATTTCTAGTTCGACCCCTAAAAACAAACCATATGTTAAAAAAAAAATTTACAATATACATATTATAAAAATTAAAAATAATAGAATGTTTAACTCATTTCCTGGGAAGTTAATAAGACTAGGTTAACTACAAATAATTTATTAATGTAAAAGTTAAATCACTGATGAAAATTATGTCATTTATACACATTATAATGATACATATAACATACTAAGAAAAAAAACATGTTTATAGAAGTTGTCTTTAAAAAAAAAAAAAAAAATATTTTTATTATTTTTTAATATATCCAACAATTGCTTGGTAATTTAAACAATAATTATGTTATAGATAAAAAAAAACAATATAATAAAATTATAGTATATACCTGGAATCTGCAAGTAATTATTTTTTGAACCCAGAAAATTAAAATAATTAATAAATGAGGTCCAGATAAAAAAAAATCATTCTCTAAATGTTTATAACAATCTACTTATATTTTGATGGTCCAGTCTTTTGCCAGTTGGTTTATACTATACAATATTAACTAAAATATAATTACTGAAGAATTACCTTATGTTGTATAAAATAGTTTTAGTTTTGGGGAAATCTGAATGTCCCCAAGTCTCCATCATCACTTCAAAACAAACTATAAGACGACCAATTATGTTGATAAGCATTTCATTAATATCTTCGTCTTCAGTTTTTTCATGAAAAACATTGATTTCTCTCTCCAATTCCTATATTCATGAAATTTTTATTATTATTTTTTTTTTTTTATTAGACAATTAACATTATTTTAATTCATGACACAATTATTAACTATAGGTACATACTCTAACAGAATTATTATTTGTAGAATTTAAAACAGACATTCCTTCATTTATTGTTGGCATGTTTAGTTGAAGTGCGAATATAGGATTACTTTTTGGGTAATCACATTTAATTACCATTACTACAGTTAGTGTTGCTAAAAAATAAATTTTACAATTACTTTTTTATTACAATATATTTACCAATGACTTGACTAATATTGTATACCTGTTTTATAATTTACAACACGTTTAAATAATAAATCATTCTCTATCACTGTTCCAAATTCAACGTGTGGTTTGCAATATTCAAGTTTAATAAAATTTTCCCATGTCATTGTATTCCAAGGGGATAAAACTGAAGTTAAATTAACTCCATTTATACTGAACCTTCGTTCCAAGTCTGAAATAATGAAAGTAATATAATTAAAAGGAAAACTAAAATGTGTATATTAATATATCATTAATTATTACCCCCACAGTCAAGCTGAGTAATTAATGAAAGACGAGTTTTAAGGCGATTATTTATTGCCCTTAATACTTGAGCTATATTATTTCTTGAAATTAAAAAACCAGGTGTACTAGGATTTAAAAAATCCAAACCACATATACTTTGAGCCCAAATATAAGGTTTTCCTACCTCCATAGTGTTGAACTCAGTTTTTTCCTACATCATAAATAAAACATTACATTTTAATGATTAATTGTCACATAAATTATACTAACTTCTTCTAATTGATGAAAGTTGACGATATAAGGGCTTTCTTTGCCATTGTCACCTGGGAATAATGCATCAAGTATAGAACTTGGTGAAAGCAATTCTCTAGAGTAAGATGAAGAAAATCCAGACCAAGATGAAGTAACGGTAACAGTTATTAAGTTTAAGTTTACCAAATAAAAAAATTCCATTACAAACTGAGTATTATTCTTTAAACTTAATGTCAATTTAACTGATAGTGGGTGTTTAGATAATAAACTCTTTTGTTGTACAGACTTTGTATCTGTTCGTGATTTCTTATGATGACGTTTTTTTTGTTTAGGCACATCTAATTCCTGTAAAATAGAATTATTTATCAAGAATTGACTAAAATATTAATGTTAATAATTAAATAATCTAATAGCCGATAAAAATAATAAAAACTAACAAAAGTAAAAATTGATAAAAATTATAGTAGAATGATCATTTATTTTTCAATAAAATGGCTAATCAACCTGGGTGCAATACAAATGGCTTACACCCATTTTTCTAATATTCTATAAACCAAAATAGCAAACAATATTAATTTAATTTTATATTCAAATTTTAATCAATATACTTGAAAAAATTTTAAAAAATTATAATGGAACATATTTTACATAATATATTTTTAAAGGACACATTGAAAATATGATTTTTTTTTTTTTTAATCTACGTTGTTTCACAATTTATACAGTAAATAATAAAAAAAACTATAAAATATGTATACGTCATTATTCATAATAGTAATGCATAATACTATTAACATACACCATGAACACTCATTCTTATTGGGTTATAATAGTTATTTTCCATCCAATAGAATAAAAACAAAAATGCATTCATTTATTAACTTTATGTTACATTAATTTTGTAAAAATTGAAATAATACAAAATATTATACTACTCATTAGAAATGCAAAATATATTAACATATAGGCTATTCGGAATGAGATCGTACCTCGGCGGCGACCAGTTTTTGTTCGCGACGGTCAGATGCCACCTCAAAATTTTCCCACCACGAAAGCTCGTAAGGCTAGCGCCGTGGAACAAAACCACGCCCATGCGCAGAAATCGGCCGCCGAGGTACGATCTCATTCCGAATAGCCTATAGAAGATATATTATATTATGTATTGTACAAACAGCAACATTTCTGAACGTATTCAATCATAAAATAATTAAAATTTTATAAGTATCAAAATACCTTATTATTATATTTATTTACCTCATCAGAATTAGTATCCACAACATTATTTTTATTAGAATCAAATCTTCTAGCTTCTTCTTCATCACCATTAATTGAAACAGTAAATTTTGATTCTAGAATTATTATTAATTAATTTAATTTAGTGATAATTAACTTAGTACATATAAGTATTTATTATTTACACAAAATAATGAGTATAACTTACTGCAAGCTACCCTATATGCATCTGTTTGTATGTATAAATAATATAACGGCTTGGGTAATACGTTCACAATATCTGCATATGATCTTACTTGACAAGGAGCTAATCCAAAACTTTGTTGTAAAGGTTGAGCAGCCTAACAATACATACAAATTATATAATTTATTTGAACTATTTTTTATGAAAACATTTTTTTATTTTTCATAAATAAAATATATTTTTTATATAAATATATTCACTTGATAAATAACGAAATGTCAAAGAGCATTCCACTAATACATTGTTGTTGTTTTTTTGATATAAATAAAAAGATAAAACAAATTATAAAATTTGAACTCACAGTGCGTATGTCTTTAAGCATAGGTAAAATACTTTGTAAAATCCTGCTCTCTTCTTGAATTTCAGAAAGTATAGTTTCTTTATTTTTTTCTACTTCATCACATTGTTGTTGTTGAGTTTGCCTCTGTTCAAACTCCCATTGGAGACGTCTTATATGTAAATCATGTTCATTAATCAATCCATTTTTTAATTTATCCTGATAAATAATGTTAATATTAATAATATTTTATTACTAATACATAATTATTTTATTTACATACAATATAATCAGACGCATCTGGCGACTCTTGACAAAACGTATCTAATGGTACAAGATCAATATCACTATCACTAGATCTAAAAAAAAATAGAATTTACGTTACTAACATTATTTAAGTAACTAAATTAGTAAGGACTATACTTGTATTGAAGGCACTTAGATATCTCTTTCTTTAAATAAAATAATTCATTCAGAAGATTTTCTTGCTGTAAATGTTTACTATCAATTTCTTGTTTTTTTTTATTCAATAAATCTTTTTTTTGTTTTGAGCGTATTTTATCAAGTCTATTTAACTTTTTTAAAATTAAAAATAAATGTATCACATCATTTTTGTATTCTTCAAGTTTTTCTATCTGTTAAATTAGATAAAATTAATATATGATTATTCAAAATATTACCAAACAAACATTTCCCATTCAAGTTTGAAAATAATTTAAATATTTAGAGCAGAGTCATGTAGAGTTGCAAATATAGCCAACTCAGATTATGGATTATTTAACTGTGTCCAGTTATACCTTTCAACTGAACATCATATATCCAATTTTAATGTTAGCATACACTAAGTCTGTACAACTTTACAATGCTAAGAGAATTAATGCGGTTAAAGAAGTTAATTACTAATTTTTTAAGTATTGATTAATTATGGGTAGCTAAAAGTGTAGTGAAAATGAAGTGCAACATCACAAACAAATCATGGGACATTAGAAATCATCTTCAAAACTTTTGATTAACATATTTGTATTATGTATGTAGATTTTAGCACAATTTCCCCATACAGGGACTGCATATAAAAGTGAAGGTTGTAAGATCTGTTTAAATAGCATGAAAGAACATGTCCTGCTTAATTATATTTGTCGATTGATCAATGGGTATAATGTATTTAGTATTTGGTGGCTATATAATCTAGAGATGATATGTTTAATTTTAATAAATATACTATTTAAGTAGATATAAAAGGAGATAAGCATTCATGGCAAATTACCTTAAATAAACTAATTTTCAAATTAAACTTATCTATAACCTTATAAAACTAAAGCCCCATCATAATAAAAATATAAGTATAGCATAAACAATAAGAAATTGTAACAAAAAAAACTTACAGGTGGATTTTCCTTATTTTTTAACTCATAATTCCATTTCATTATGTCTTGCCATTTACGTAGAGTATTAAAGTAAATTGTAGAATCATTATGTTCATCTCTATGAGATGTTTGATTTTCTTCATATTTAGCTACTGCCTATAAACAAAAGTTGTATTTAAAAATAAAGTTTTTATTTAATTTAACTTCTAAAAATAACAATACTAAATTAATAAGTGAAAGAAAATATAAAATTTAAACATATAAATTGTGTAAATGTTCAATTGGCAACTTCTATGTTTAGAAAATTTTTTATGGTCACATATTACTAAGCTATTACAAATGAATTAATATAAATTAAACATTAAAAAGTTTAATATAACTACAAAAATAAAATTAACTACCGTGTAAATATCGACTTCGGATTCTTTATTTCTGATAATGGTTGGTTTACTTTGAGAAGTTTTTTCACTCATTGCAAGACAGAGTGAACGTCTTTTTAAGTATTATTGAGTTGATATTTTGTTAAAAATAAATACTAAGAAAAAAAAGTTAATACCAGTTTTTATTAATAATGTTTATGAATACAAGGAATAAGCATAACACATAAATTAATAAATATTAAAATATTATAAGAAATTAAAATAATAAGATATAAATTTCAACACAAAACCAAACGGAATTTCTGGGAAGGTAATATCACAGAATATGAAAATCTGAATGGACACTGATAAAAATGTATACAGGCAAGTAGGCAACATAGGACGAAAACTTGAAACAGTCGTCACAGGTCCGCAGTAGGGCCAGTTCATTTTACAGTGTAACCATTTATACACGAAAAATAATTATGAGATATCTTTATACGATAAAAGAATGTGCTATTTTTTGAGGTTCCAGTGCTGTTAAATCCAGTTCGATTAGCTGGACAGCTGATTGAGTGTCGTTTCTATATTGTTCTGTGGTGATATTCAATTACAATAATACAGTACCGGCAGTACCTCCTTTGACAGTCAGAATATCTGCAACTTTAAGGATCACATCTTTTGGTGTAGTCCAACCGGACATCTTTCCTGTTAGATGAACACCAATAATTTTAGAACATTTTAGTTCCCATGGAATATCAGCCATCACGTCAACAGCATCCGCACCACCAACTCCAATACACAAGCCACTGAGTCCACCTCCATTAGGTGTAAGGGAATCAGTACCAATCATCAATAATCCAGGAAAAGCATAGTTTTCCAGAATAATTTTATGAATAATTCCAGACCTAGGATGCCAAAATTCAACTCCTTATTTTGCTCCAGCAGTTTTTAAAAAGTTGTAAACTTCTTCAATAATTTCTTTTGTCCTTTTCAAGTTCTCGACTCCACTTACTTGAGCTTCAATCAAATGATCACAATGAATCGTGGAAGGAACAGCAACCTTTGGCAAACTTGAAGAGATAAATTGCAACATAGCCATTTGTGCAGTAGCATCTTGCATTGCTACATGATCAGGCCTAAACTTTTAAGTAAGAAACACCACGCTCAATATCTTGATTAACAGGATCATCCAAGTGAAAATAAAGTACTTTTTCTGTCAATGACAATGGCTTTCCTATCCTATCATTAATAATATTGATACGCTTTTCACAGTGACGTATTTATGTGGGGGGGGCGAGGGGCCCAGGCCCCTCCCGAAATGAAAAACGCAATTATTAAAAATTGTTATTTTTGACATGGAATATGCCTTATGGTTTGGGAATGGGGATAATTCCAAAAATTTGACACGACACCGATATCATGACGTCATGAATGAAACTGTCGCTTATATGCGATAATTTAGAATAAAAGTATAGCGTGTTGAATGCGTTAGTATTTTGACTATTATTAATGATTATGTGACACAATTTATTATTTAAGTTATATAAATAAAACAAATATTGGTTGTTAGTTGTTTACGATTTCGGCAGACGGAAACTATTAGTATATGTAATTTTAGCTCATGACTTCTAGAATTAAATTAATAACTGTAGTGGTGAGATAGTAATAATATAGGTAGTCAGTGGCGTAGGTTAGGTATTAACTATTAATTATATGCATTATATTAGTATTGATTATATTCTAGTTTAATTTTGATTGTCTCTAATAAAAAATTGTTTATAAAAATGTAGTTATTACTTTTTTTTATGTTACAATTCATTGAAAAAATGATTGAATTTCTTATTACTCTGATGGTCTAAAGAGAGTTGAAAGATCTTGTAGTATTCAAGCAATTTTTGTCCAAATAGTGTGTCTCCTCCCTCCTTTTCCTAAAGAAATCCAAATATATAATCGGCCCCCTCCGAAATAAAAACCTATATACGCCACTGCCTTTTCAAGAGTTTCGTATGGCAAAAGTTTGGTGCCAAACTTGCTCATACCTAGCTACTTTGCTTACGGCATGTACGTGTGGAGATGAGGGGAAGCGTCTTAGCTGAATTTCACCAGTTATCACTTTGGTCCACGTTGGGATCTTAGAAATAATCGTTTTTAATACTCTGGTGTACGCCATAATGTCTAATTCTTCAACTGTTTTCTTACTGAACTGAATACTGATGATGAATAGAAAACGGATATTAGTCTTTGAGCCGAAAGTACGATGGAACGCGATCACCGCGTAATGATTTTTGAGCAAGACAATAATATGAATAAATAATAATACTTACTAATTTTTCGGTTTAGTCAAAACGGGTTTTGACAGATTTGCGATTTGACTAAAGGAAAGTTGTCGCTTGTTGAAAAAAACTGAACTCGAGTGGTGAAAATCAAAAAAGCTTGATAACGACTTAACAATCGTTGTTATAAAGTAAAAATATTTAAATCTTTATATTTGTACGAAAGAATGACTGACTGCTATGAAGTCACTGTTAATTTAAACTTTAAATATATATTGTTTTTCGAACTGCAGCACCATTGATTATTTGACATTACAAAAATTAACTACGAAAAGTAGAGTGATTCATATATAATGTAGATACATAATATGTAATTAATAAAATCTGAATATTGGCTCAGTACGTACATAAAAATATACAATATTATATTCTACAAACAGTTTAAAATTTATACTTAGAGGTACTACGTACAAAAAATAAGCAGTCATCTGTTTATATTAATTGAATATGTTTTTTAATTAGCACCTTCATTTTAATATCCAAGCGTGTTATACTCTCAAACACCAAATTTGCACAATAAACAGACAGGATTACGTTCCGACCATTCAGGTATTGTGTAAATATATTTTATACACATAGGCAAAAATAGTGTTTGAAGTTTGAGGAGGGGGGGCTGAAGTCAAATTCCACCTCAATCACCTTAAAGTTATAATACATAACAATATTGACTGATAGACGATAGCCATTAATATTTGGGGGGGGGGGGGCTATACAAAATTAAGTGAGGCTTTACCCCTATCCTCCTCGCTATTTGCACTAATGTTTATGTACTATGTCTGAATATAAATATGCTTAATAATTGGAAAATTAAAAAAAATGTATCTAAACACATTTAGAAAAAAACATGATAAACATATTATTGCGTATAAGAAGAATGAGTTATCACTTTTAAAAATAATATTTTACAGTCATTTATGATATTGCTTTAATATATTCCATTTTTATAATCACTATAATTTTAATTATTAAAGCAAAAAAAAAAATTGAAAAATGTACATATCATGGTATATTACAACTAATTGAAAACAATTAATAAATTATTATGTATTAGTTTTTTTATAAATTTATAATAGATAAAGGCAAACGAAGTATACTGAAGTTAAGTTAAATAATTTATTTTGAAATTTCAAAATGGCCTGATTAAAACCTCGTACACCCAAAAAAATAACCTGAAATGACGCCACTGGTAGTTATAATAGTATATTTTACTAGTTACTACTGATTCTAAACATTAATATCATTGATTATAAAATAGTCTATTCTATAATCAATGATTAATATCTATTGCGTCCATACACACATTTGAATTTTGATTACCTACCAACCTATACTTATAGGTCATTTCGGATCTAAGATGTTTACCTATAATAAATAATAATAACATTTTTTTAGATAATACCTATTATATAACTCAAATCAGATCTATCTTAAATTGTTGTATTTTCTTAATGAATTTAAATAACTGATCCTTTTATCCATTTAACATTTCTAACTACCGTTATCGAAAATCTCGTTATTTCCAGCATTGATAAATAGACGTATTAATATAAATCATGTTATTACAATACTCCTTTAAAACTCAAACAGATTAATATACACACAAAAAAAAAAAATAATAAATAAATAAAATTAAATTAACACCCAGCTTCTTTAACAAAAATATCAGATATTTTGATATCATATAAATATTTATAAAACAATTACAACGCCGAAACAAATTTTACAAATTAACTATATTTTTGTCACTTATTTAATAATAATAACATTTTTTGTTAATTAAGATGTAACTATATGCAAGTTGAGTAAATGATGAATTAAAGATTATATAAATTTAAAAATGTTATCATGCTAAAAAATGGACCTAGAAGTCTCAAATTAATTGGAACTTTTAAGACCTGGTATAAATTTTCATCAGAATCTTGATGACGCGGGATCAATTTGTCAGCATACATAGCCGCCCAGGTATTCAACAAAATTGTATATAGTAGTATTATAGTACCATTGAGCACTCAAAGGAGTCTAGTACCATTGATTATAGTACTTACATAGGTATTCTATTCAAATATTATAATAGCGAAAAATTAGCCATGCAGCGCTGCTGTGGTGTTAAAATGAAACGCTTATCACACTTTTTTGTTATAATGTTTATCATTAAAGTCTATGTAGACCGATGTCCAATACTACGTCGTTGCTTTTTATCGTTCTCATTATCGCAAATATATCAAAATGGTACGATGGTGTGTTGAATGGCGATACGCTTAATTTGTAATATGTAATAATACTTAATAGTATCACAGAATAGTTTAAGACGGTGTTCAGCGTAGACTAATCGTCGATAGGTACTTTATTTTATGGTACTTGGGATGGGACATTATTGACCATCAATTGATGTATTGCAGGCAATCGGTAAAATTTATTTATCGAGGCAAATTGTATTTACGCGTTGTATTGTTGAACGTTTCGCCTCTGCTCCCACTCGGCGGGAAAATATTCAACAAGACGTACCGGACGCACCTGTTGGCACACTACTGAATCAAAGTTTGTCGTTTGAAAATAATGTGTTCGAGTGACCATTCCTAGTTCAACCACTTCTGAAGTTTTCAACTAGCTCTCATTCAAAATGGACAACTTGGATTCTATAGATCCGTTGGATCCATTGGATATGCCAGAGGATCTAGATTTTGCCAATTTTGACGGTGAGTTTAGTGTACCATTTAAACACTTTAAGTTATAGATACTTTTTTGATCTAATCACTGTTTATACCTAAATAAATTATGTTTTTCATAGAGCTCTTGAACAAGTATAATGATAAAATGCCAGAAGTTGACACAAAACTGTTTACTGGAGATAATATATTGACAGAATTTGATGATCCAATGAGTGATCCCACATTGTTAGATTTTCCACCTCTCGATTTCTCTTTAATTGAACCAGATATCCATATGTCGCCACCACAAGATACTGTTTCCCACTTTATTGATACTCCAGTGATATTACCTTCTGCCATACCTAAACCATCTCCAAAAGCACCTCCTTTAATTAAGCCCAACCGTAAAGTCATTGAAAAGCCTATTCAACCAAATTATACTATAGAACAAAATGTTAATAAAAAAATAAAGTATATTCAAAAATCTGGAATACAGACTATCCTTCCAGTTAAAAGTGTGGGACAGATCCACTTACCATCTGACCAAATGAAACAAGTAAGTATATTTAATATATTATACTCTTCATAATAATCAAAATAATTAAATATAATTATTTATAGGTTTTTTTTAATGCACCATTGAACACATCCCCAACAATGGTATATACATCAACAAATGGTCAACCAATTATACTAAACAACACTGCATTTGTTACTACGGGTAAAATATATTATTTTTCTGTAAAGGTAGGTATTAAATTAATATTTATTAGATTTTTATGATTTTAGGTATACCAGTTATGATTGATTCAGATATGTCATCTAATAATATTGATGTAAGGTCAGTGAAAGATGAAAAACCACGAAGCTCACATAATGTTATTGAAAGAAGATATCGTACAAGTATTAATGATAAAATTATGGAATTAAAAGATATGATTCTTGGAACTGAAGCTAAAGTAAATATTAATGTTTCATAGTGTAAACTTTAACTTATATTATAATATTGTTTGTTTAGCTTAATAAATCTGCTATACTTAAAAAAGCTATTGATTATATTAAGTATTTGGAAATGGCTAATGAAAAATTAAAAGATGAAAACAAAATGTTCAAATTAAGTATTTCAAAAAACCTAAATCAAAGTCCTCCTACTTTATCACAAGAAGAATACAATAATCCTGGCTCACTGACCCCTCCACAATCATATATTTCTGTTTCTTCACCAGAAAGATCAGAAGGCGCTTCATCACCTGAAATTGTAATGAGTTCTCATACAGTATTGGTACGATTTTATAATTTCATATATGTTTATGTAGTTAAATAATTAAGTTATATATACATTTTTTTTTTTTTTTTGATTATAGACCAATGAATCTGGTAAAAAAGGTATGGCTGATCATTCAAGATTAGTACTTTGTGTGTTTATGTTTGTGGTTGTTGCTTTTAATCCTTTTGGAAATTTATTGCCCAACAGCAATATGTCACATTCTGAAAATTCTTGGACAGAAAAGGTTGATGGTAGAACAATTTTAAATGCTAAAATAGGTAATTATTATCTAATTATTTAACAGTGTTGAATAGTAACATATTGATTAATTAAGTACAGTAATTTAATTACTTTTTTAAAGTTACTTACCTAACATCACTAAATAAATATTTATAGTGTATGGCCAATATTAACATTGTTTATGATAACTCATTTTTAAGATTCTGGAATGGATGATGGAACATATCAAAGTTATGCTTTTAGTCTGTCTGTTTGGATATTGAATATTCTTGTGATGTTCATAAGTCTAACCTGTCTTCTTATTAATGATCCAATCATATATTCAGATTCAGAAGCTTACAAGGAATACATAAAAATGAGAAAACAAGCAGAAGATAACTTGAATAAGGTTAGTGAAAAATATTTTTGTTATTATAATAGCTAATTCTTTCAAACAAATTCAGGGAAACAGAAAAATTGCAATCCTTGAACTCTCTAGATGTTTAGAAATTTTTGGTCGGCCAATTTTGACAAGTCGTAAGAAACTTTGGGCTTCATTAATCTGGCAAATTATCAGACAATTTTTACATCAGTTTAAAATGGTTTTTTTTTTGAAAAAATGGAATAATGCTGTATTTAAAAATGTGTATGATACAAAATTAAATTAATAGATTGAAATACCTAACTAATTAATTTTGTTTACTTCAATAGGACCAAAAAGCAAGACACTTTAAACACAGCTAAACAGCTCAGTGAAATTTATCATTTATTGCATAAGTTGTATTTAATTGGTGGAACTGACTGGTCAATACCTAATTCTCATTGGGGTATTGGTCTATACTTAGGACTTTGTTCAATTAACATAGCTGAAGCAGCTGGACGACAAGTAATTGCAGTTGAGACTTATGTACGTCTATATTCAACCATTGCTCTTAATTTCAAAACTATAACATTTAAAGGTGCTGGATTTTTTACCAGGTTGGTTGTTGAATGTTAATATTTTGTAATTTTTTTTTTTTTAACTACCCTTTAGTTAATACATAAAAACTCTTAATTTTTAGATATTATTTACATAAAGCACAAATCCAAGTGGTAAATTATAATAGATTACCAGCAAATTTGAATTGGCTTACAACTGATCATGGATTTAGGTTTTTTATTGATCACAATTGGAGCTTTACTCCGAGTAATGCTACATCATCATTCACAACACTCTCTGACTATAATGATCCATTGTCTCATCTAACCAGAGTATGTAATTGGAAATGTTATTTTGTCTCAAAATTTAATGTCATTATTTTAGTCTTTCAGAGAAAATACCTTAGAAAAAGCTTTACAGACATTAATATCACCAGGAACAAGACAAATTGTTCAAGCTGTTGGTCATATCAAACAACCAACTGTAACTTCAGATGTTTTGCTATACATACAGCGCATTGTAGAATCTAATTTAATTACAATGAAACCCAGGATAATTGGAAGCTCGGAAGTTAATGGTAAGACTTAATTGTTGAAATTTAAAGTTAATAATTTCAATATTTCGTTATATTTTCAGTAATAGAAGATGAAAAAGTAGCATGGTGGGGAGCAATATTTGCTGCTGGAACTTATTGGATATTAGGTGAAGATAATGACATAGATTTGCTCGATAAACACATCTCAAATGTTCCTCCAAGTTTATTAGTTGATCCATTGGCACAAGCTGTATTAGCTGCTTATAAGTATGAACATTTGTTATGTGATAAAATACAATGATAATTTTGTATTTATTGATATCAATATATGTTTATAGATGTCGAAATAAAGTCCAAACAATGAAACCAAGAATTTTAGATTATCATTGTCATGAAGCTAGTAAAATATTATCGGAAACTTTAATCTTATTGCAAACTAATAAGCCCCAACCTATTGTTATAGTAAGTTAACTATTTAAAATTGTTTAAAATTATGGAAATTGAAAAAAAACAATTTTTTTTGACTAGATGACATTATTATTAGCTTGTGACTGGTTATTAGAAACAAGGATGTTGTCGTGGCAAGAAGAATGTAAGAAAATGCCTGCAGGATATGTTAATTTGGAATTTTTAAATTTAGAAAACTTTCAAAAAGATTTAACTTCCTTACGAAAAATTGCACAATTTGTTCCAGTAAGTGTTATTATTTTAATTTTTTAAGTTTTGCTAGTGGTAGTATTATACTTCACAGAAAACCATATTGTTATCATATTTGTCCACTAATGCTTAGTGTCATGTCATTAAAATTTGGTCTACGTATTTTATTAGTCTTTAATTTTTTACACTGCACAAATAAAGTTAAGACTGTATATATTATGGATCACTATTCAAAAATTCCAGTCAGGGTTTGTGACCTGCATAAAAATATGCATACTTAAAAAAAATTGAATTGAAAACACACCTAACACTATATAGTATTTACCTGCATAATAATATTCTTATTGTTGACCTTGAACTAATAATTTTTAACCATGTTGGAGTAGAATATACATTTTTTTTTAAATTTTATAATTTTTTAGATTATTTTAAATCATTGAGTGCTTTATATTTAATTTTTCTAGTAATTGTCTAAGTATAGTTATTTAATTCAATATAAAACATATTTATAATACTGTATAAATGTATAGTTTGCCACTGCCAAAGTGTTCTTATATGAAGCAACGGCACGTTTAATGGCAGGAGCTTCACCAACAAAAACCCAACAACTATTTGATCGTAGCTTAAGACACAGATCAACACGACATTTTGTTATTTGTACTAAAGGTAAGAAACAAGATAATATTTTTCTTTATTATTAAATACAAGAGAAAGTTCACAATACCATTTCTTCTTTTAGGTAAAGGTGAACAAAGCACAGTTGGTCTAAGAGAACACGCAACTGCATTATTTATGGCGTGTAAACATTTGCCTATGTCTCTTTTATCACCACCTGGCATAAGGGCAGGTATGTTAGCTGAGGCAGCTCGTACATTAGAAAAAATTGGTGATCGAAAAAATCTTATGCAGTGTTACAAATTATTGAAATCTATAACAACCAATTCATCAGTTACGGATTGATTTTGTTTCTATTACCAATGTTAATGTTTGATGTTTGTTTTTAGAATTTATTGTTATAGTCTTAACTTTTTTTCACTTTCTTTTTTCATAGATAAAATATAAAATTGAATCTAAAAATAAATTTTAAAAAAGCATTTTTATATGTGTGTCAATTGATTTGCCTTATAAACCAAATTGCAATTTTACTCTACCATTAATTATTTAATTAATTAATGTTATTGGCTCAATTTTATTTTAGATTCATATAACACACATTTAATAGAACTTATGCTGTTTTATAAAATAAAATTTTTTTAGGATAGTTTTCACTTATTTTAAATTAAAAAGAAGGGTAATTATCTTAGATAGACGACACATGTTTTGATTAATGCTTGTCCTTTATCAGTGCTTAATATATAGATGGTTCAAGTTATAAAATTTTGTCTATTGCATATTATAATAAGTTGTTTATTTAAGTATGAAGCATTGATTTAACTTGCATATAATAGGGTGACCATATGCAAGATAAATGATTTTGGCTCAACTCTATAATTTTAATATTATACTGTCAATTGTGCAATACACCAAAAAAAAGTCATATCTCATATTTATCGCTGACAACTGATTGTCATCACTCATCAATCTGGGCTCTTTACGAAAAAAACTGCTATTAATAACTCTAGATAATAACTCAATACAAAACAGTAAAAATATTGTTTTTTTTCCAAGTATATGTTTTTCTTTTACACATACATCTATAAGTATAACAATAATATGGAGACAACAGAATATAAACAGGACTATGTATTGAAAGTAGGACAAAAAGCATATGGTTTTAAGATAGTACAAGAAGTCTATCCTGTTCTAAATGGGATGTATAGTCACCCCACCCAAACGTAAAACAATTAACAAAAATGCCATTATGACAAATATATTTAATTACAATAATTAATTTTTTTAATGTGATTTTTTTTTTTTTAACTTTTATAAATAAAATTAAAACTATAGTATTTACAATAGATTTTAAAGATGTCAGGTTTTTGAAATAATAAATATAATAAAATAATTTTTATCGTAGTCTATATAAATATTACATGGTACAAATAGTGTTTTTTTTTTTTAACTGTTATTAAAACTATTTTATACGCTGTTATTACCAAAAACCCCAAAAAAATTAGTATTATTGTACAATAGTTTATATAATTTAATATAAGGATCGGTGAATGCTATGCTTTGTGGCCGGAATGATGCGATTTTGGCTGTGAGCTGTTCATAACCACCATCGCACTCGGCTTGACTATAAGATGGCCATTGGACAGTGGTGGTAATTGCTGAGTTGGAATTGTCACTGCCTATAACAAAATAAAATAAAAGAATAGAATCTACATTAATAAAGTTAATAAACAAATTTTTTTTTTGATAATGGTGCTAAACTAGATTATGATATAAGTACAAAATAACAAGACTGATTAGAGATGCCTTTGCCTCATAAATAAGAATTACAAATTCATTGTATAAACTTAAAACGTTCATGTGTAAATGATAAAAATATCAACACTTTATCAATAACTTTTAATATGTAGAGAATTAAGCGTAGTGTCGAGATCTCTTACATAACTAACATATATGTTAAACTCCTCAACTGAAAGTGCCTTCCTTTAAAATATACTTATTTTATCATATACTCTTGGCCTATATGTTTATTGTATCAAGTGATATAAATTATATATTGTTTAAGATAATAAAAAAAAATAAAATAAAAAAAATAAGTAGAGAATACGAATTATAAAATGATAAAGTAAAAAAGTATAATATTTATTATTTCATAATATTACCACTTACCGTATTGAAAAGCGTGTACTGTACAGTCAATATAATATTTAATTATATCATTTATTATAAATAAAAAAATTTAAAAAATATTTTAGGAGGCCATAATCTATTAATAACCCGTAATATAGCCAAGGCACAATTTTGTTGACTAGGTAACATATACATACCTTAGAAGAAGCTGTAGATAGTACTAGATGAGCTGGAGCAGAATTATTATGGTGATGAGTTAGAAGTAACGGCCGAGTAATAACGTGATTTGGAGTTGGCTGTCCTCTGTTCACAACTACAGTACACAGATAGGAAAAAAAAATAAAATATATTATTAATTTTCACGAGACATTTTATACGCAAGTTCCAAAATGAACATAAATTATTATTATTATTTATTTACCTGACGTTTGTGCCGCTATGATATTATTCTGCAACAGTCTGATTGGTGCGGACGCTGTGTTGTTGGAATGATCTATCACGCTGGTGCCAATCTTTATGCCTGACCAAAAGAACCGATATTAAAACACCGCATACCATCATTAAGTATGTACAAAATAATGTATCCAACACCGGTCATTGTTGTATACCTGCGAGAGACATTTTGGAACGATTGGGAGTAAGTTTTGGGTCGCCATACAAAGTAAACGAGCCATTTGACACCTTGGTTAATACTGCTTGAGTAGTACCATCGTGTTGATCTGTAATACACATAGGTCGGGATTATTAGGATTGACGGTCAATCCGGATAAGCACGAGTCTTTATAAATAGTTCGAGGGAGCTTATTATAATATTGAGTTGGCGAGGAAAAATCATTAGTTTACTGTTTAACTTATATAGTTGATCTGAGAGTGTTATAATTCATTTACATATTAGTGCTCATTGCTCACTTCAAGAGAGACGGGTAGTCCAATTGGCTTCTTTATCGCCACACTCAAATTATATACCTATACACTACTTTTAGTTCCCCCAAACACAAAGGAAGATGGGTGTGGGGTAACCAAATTTAAATTACCAATAGGAAAAATGGATCTTTATAGCATTATAAGCAGTAAGACACTAAGAAAAAAATAAACCAAAAAACTTTAAGAACAATACTATAATGTAATCAAATAAACCACTAGGTATCATAGCTTAATGAATTATTCATCAAATACCAACTACCTATTATACACAGATATCTTCTCAAAAATTTAAACTCAACCGTCAAAACAATTGTTTTTCTAATATTTTTATTAAATTCTTTAATACTTATAGAATTATGTCTGGTAACGTCCGAGTAAGAGGGCATGATTTATAATAACTATATAATATGTGTACTTACTGAGAGCATCTTTGTGATGAACAAACGTGAGCGTTTGCTGTTGCAAAGCGTTCGGTGGTAACGAGGACGAGTTTCTGGTCTGAGGAACTATGTGAATTGTACTCCCCATCATCGGAGACGTGCTGACGACCTGCACCTGATGGGGAATTATGTCGGAGACGAACGGCAACGTGGGCGGGGAGGAACTGGACAACGATGATGTACTACTGTACAGAGCACTGAGTTTACTGTCGTCCGCGTCGCTAGTAACCATGCTAGCGTCCCTTTCCGTCTCGAAATCTCCGTTTATACTTGTAGCGGCTACTGTGGGCAAACGGAAGGGAGATGTTAATAGATATGATCATAACAAATTGAATATCATTCAATCGCACATAGAAGCAGTAGAGAGATTTTGCGTCTTCTGATTAACTTATATTTTAATATATTTATTAATAAGCATGTATGCTTCCCCCTCTGTTATTTCATTTAATAATACATTTATTAAAATTCTAATGTTTGAATTTTTTGAATGTATTTTAAGTCAAAGACATATTTTTAAACATTTTTTTACTACAAAAGGAGTATCTTTTAGTGATACATATGTTAACTTCTGCTTCTCAAATGGAAAATTAGTTTACTAAAAGTTTCGAGATCATATCAATTCATTTTTTCGTAAATAATAACGCGTTTAACGAAAATCGACATGTACGATAAACTACAACATTGATGCTGCAATCGTCTCGAGATGGTCAAGTGGTGGTAAAAGAGAACGGTTAGCACACACTTACTAGTGGTCTTCCTAGTTGTCACGTCGGGCGGCAAGTCCGGCAACAGCTTGCTGAAATCGATGTGATCCCATTTGGCTGCTAGTTCTTTCTTGAGAGACGCGTGTCTCTGTTGAGCCCAAATCTTTTCTCTGGCCAGTCTTTCCATCTCGTGCTCCAGCTCTTTCTCTCGACGTCTCAACACCTAAACCAACACAAATAACGGCACACAATTCCGCTGGATTATAAGTCGGTTAAACAAGTACAATACGTAATATTATATAAAATATAAGACATTTAAACATATTATAGCGAAGGAGAGTAACTTGTGGCTCGCGACTTATTTTTAAAATAAACATTTTCTTATTATTATTATGAAATTTAAGTTTAATGGGACTTTTTATAGTATTTTTTAAATTAAATTTTTATATTACTGTATCTATATACTTTATTTTTGAATTTAAATTATCAACAAATTTACTTGAATCCAGACAGTATTATCGTATCTATAAATTTGATAACAGGTATATTTATACTCAATAATACCAAAAATAAAAATCTGCGTTGGAAATGCGGAACGTAAGTATGTTATAATGTTAAATGCGCATACGACAGAGACTATACAAATTTGTTTGTATTTCCTATTTTCGTCTGCAGTAAGTACACGCAGCATAAAATATCATTGTCGAATATACTTAATAGGTACATATAAATAGGTAATCAATTCATCATTACATATATTAAGTACCTAATTTATAACTAGAACCTAGATTCTAAGCACTAATTGACAGATAATTTATGTATATAATATTATAATGACGCACGCGTAAGGCGAAGGCTAACAAAAACTAAAGCGTCTAAGGCGATTATAATAAAACATGTAATATTATTTGCACGTTATTATGTACCAGTATTATTAATATGAATTTTTAAAATACGAAATTCAACTTGTTCATCGATATTGAAGTCGTATTTTTTTCTAAGAAATCGTGTTGTGTTTTCTAAACGTCAACGGACGACACACGGCACCTAATTGGGTAAGTTGCATAACCATAACAAAAATATTATCTTAGTAATAAACTAATAAACATAGACATATGACATGATGCAGCCAAGTTTGGTTTATGTTTTGAAATTTAACTTTTTCCAAATTATTGTTCTCATGATTTAACGACCAGCTTAACCGATTGACAAAGTAATAACAATAATAGCTA